TGCTGGATGGTGTACGACGGTTGAGTATGTGTTGGATGTCTGAACATTTTATGAGCTGTTAAGACCACTTAAAATACAAAATGCTCCCCAGTTAACCATTGTGAAGTGTGTAAAATCAAATATGTGTCCGGTTAATGGCTGTTTTTTGTTATTCTTGTTACTCCAACTAACAACAACATCAGCAGCAGCAATAGCAACAATGTTCCAAGCAATGCTGCTGTTGACGATGATGAGTATGATGATAATAATAATTGTGGGAATGATTATGATGATGATGTTGCTGCTGCTGGTGGTTAGTGTTGGTGGTGGCATGTGGTTGTTGCCTGTTTATTAGTTGTATACATGTTGTCATCATGTCGTTACACTGTGTTTTTTTTTGTCTTTTTCCTTAAAATAAATGGACTTAAGAAATTAAGCATGTATTTTCAAGTCCTTATAATTGATAATTGTTAATTAGTTTTATCTGCCGCATAACTTGTGTCAGTAGAGCAACTTGGTTAATTTAAATAATTAATTGTTCACCTTAATGTTTAAAAAGTTCATTGTTCTATTATTTATTTTTAATATTTCATAAATAATTAACTCTGTTGTTGCCTTCCCTTTTTCCTTTATTTACATTATTCTATTGTTGTCCTTGCAAATAATTGTTTACATATGCTAGATTTTTATTTACTCACTTTTTTAACATTGTGTTACAGTTACAGTGTAACTTCCCAACCAAGCCAAATACAAAAAAAAAAAAATAAAATAAAAAACGTATAGGAAAAAGTACAGAAATCCTGAGTATTTTGTCGCATTTACATGAATGAGTATGTTAAATGAATAGTACTACTAGTAGAAGTATCTATGTGGAATGAAAAAGTGTATGAGTGTATGGCATGTACATATTTTTTTCAAATATAGAATTTTTGTCGTATTGCAGGTGCTTTTGTTTTGGCCACATCTATCTGTGTCCAACTGTTAGTTTGTCCGTCTGTTCTACAGTCTGCTAACATGTCTCTCTACTGAGGCCAGCCTTACTTTTTGGATTGTTATTTTTTGTGTGTTTTTTTTTCTTACAATATCCTGAGTCGTCTGCATGTCCTTTTAGTCCAAAAAAACCCTTTCATGTATAAGTAAATGTGTGTATGAATATGAATTATGGAAATTATATAACACAAAAACAACACTTACAAAATGTTTAATAACAACAATTTTGGTTGTATTTTCATTTTTTATTATTTCTTTTTTCTATATTTTGTCAACCACTTTAGAATGAGTATTTACACTGAAATTTTGGGTTTTTTATTGAAGGGGTTCTAACTAATCCTTATTCATATTTTTGGCTCTTGTTTGTTTGTTAAACTGTATTTAACAAAGGAAATTACTAATGGTGGTTATTTATGCAGTATCAACATTCAAAAGGGGTTCAACGTTGAAAAGAAATAAAAATTCAAAACATATTTAAAGTCCAAAATATATACCTTTCTTGCAGACATACATAATCATTCATAAATATTGTGTGTGTCCATTTGAAATAATGTGTTCTAGTGACCTGATTTTTGTATATTTAATAAATGTGGGAATTTTGTTTCGTAGAAAATTAAAGAGAAAATGTTAGAAGAAAAATAAGCCAAATTATCAAAATAACTAATTATGTAAATAAAATCACTGAGTTATAAAATTAAAAACAGTTTCTTAAAGCTCTGTATTACATACTGTTTATTGTAATAATATCTTCTGTCTTCTAAAATATATTATGTTAAAGGCATGTGGTTACAGTGACCATAATATTGTTATGTTTCTTATAATAATATAAGAATTATTGATTAACAATTTGTTAAAAGCTTTAGTTAATGTTTAAAATGATCAGATATATTTATTTTGTGCAATATAATTGAATATTTAAATTTTACACTCTTCTTATTGATTTTAATTTACATTTTCATTTAATTAAACATTGTCACACATACTTAGTTTGCAATAGCAGGGAAGGTGTTGTTTATAATTACACCTTTAAGCTAATCAAAAGTTTTCATTGTTAGATCCACCCCGTATTTGTTGCTAACATAATTTGCATACACACACACACAAACAATGGTTCCACATCAACAACAAAGCTTAAGTTTTGATTTCCCAGTGTGAATGCAACTGAACAGAAAATAATATTCAATTAACAATTTGAATATGAATTTATTATTACACATTTTAAAACAATAACTACTATATTTTAACGCTAAAGAGAAAAAAGCAACTACAAACATACATATGAGGAGTGCAAGTTGCAGCAATAATTGTATTTGTAGTTGTGGCAGTGTGCAGTTTTTTTTCGTTGTGGTGGCAGGTTACTTTAGTAACTGTAGTGCCACAAAAGTCAACCGATACAAAACAACAAGTGTTTTTTATAAGTTGTAGGTACGTATGTGTAACAACCATCCGCCAAAAAGAAAACAACACAAATATTGCATGCATTGTTAGCTAGTTTTTCTGCCCTATTCCTGGAGCAAAGAATATTTTTGAAATCTTGTTTGTTGAAATCAGAAACTAAAAAACTACTAAATGTATTTAATGTTTAAAGCGTAAACAGAGTTATGTGTGTAAATATTTATTAATAATAAGAATTGCTAATATATTGTCTGTATTGGGGCTGATTCTGTTGTTGTTGTATTTTTATCACTTATTCCTCCTGCATAAAATTTTCTTTGCAGTTATGAATTATAGAAATTAAAAAAACCTATTTTTATTTATAAATATCCAACAAAATATCGTGTTTTCAAGTTTACTCACATGCCACAAGTCTGTATGTGCAACCAAGCATTTATTAAATTAAATTAAAAACAAAAAAAAAAAAAAAAAACACACGAAACGGAAGCCCAAAGGTGGCAATCAAACACAATGTCCTCTATTAATGTTTTTACTTTCAATTGTTTTTTCATAACTATTTAATAAAAAATAAAATCAATTTAAATTATTATGCATACAAAGAGATTATGCTTTAGATAAAAAAAGAGGGTGAGTGAGAGGAGAAAAATGCAAAAGAAAAATAATCATATTGTCATGTTTAATGTCATCAGCATGTTAACGTTTTTAACAACCACGGCTACTGTAAATAAAAGCAGACAGACATACAAATAAAAATGTAATAGTTTCTGAGATTACAACACATTAATACAAGTTTAAGACAAAAAAAAAACTAAAGCAGCCACAAAAACTACAAAAAATGTGCATAACCAGCACTTGACGCTGGTGGTCACTGTTCGATTCAATTTGGTTCCGTTCAGTTTAGTTCGGTCATATAGATTTGTTTGGCAATTAAAACTAAAGTTTATTACAACAGCTTTATAGCCGTGTTTCTTGCTTAGCATTTATATTATAGCCATAATGCTAAATATATGTATGTTGCCATATGCTTATAGATTCAACTACAGCAACCACAATAAAAACACCAACAAAAGCTACAACATTTGCCGACGAAGATCAGGTGTCGATCTTTGGGATTTTATGTTTTTTGTAGCATTTTAACTAAACTACTACGTGTACCCAGTTCAATGAAGGTGAATGAAAATTATAGAAAATTTCAATAATAAAATCTGTGATTATGTTCGTTTTGTTTACAGCATGTGGCGGAAGATCTATATTCATGAGTAAAAATGTGATTGTAATTTTGGTCAAACAAGTCTAAATTAGGTCAATTTTATGTTTTCTTTTTTTAAGGGCTTACAACTTGATTTACCTATACAGTTTAGAACTTTGGTGATAATTCTGTTGTGAAGAGAAATGATCTGTACAACATTTTACTGTCTGCTATTATTATGATAGTTTATATTTTGTTACTCTTACTTTTGTTTATCAGTTAAATACATTTTATATTTATTATGTATCACAATAAAGAAAAATTTTCCATTAATTTGATTTCTTTTTCGGTTCATTTCTATCGTCAACAATGTGTAAAATAATTATATTTTGCTTTAATTTACAGTACAAATTTGTAATTATAATTTTATTTTATTAATATATACTTAACACTACATTTCTAAATGATTGATAACCTTTTATAAATATTAAAAAAAAAAATTAATGAAAATGTATAAAAATAACCATAAGCTGGTCACCTCAAAGCAGCTGTAACATTGTTGATAATCACGGTTTAAACAGAGCAAAAGACGGACGAAGAGAAGAACATATAGTATATATGGATGGTTGGAGTGAGTGGCAGACTAAACGTATACTTTAAATCACTTTTTAAATAATAAGTTTAATCAGTCTTTAGAATCTATAGAAAAATCTCAATAACAAAAGAAAAAGAAACATAAGAGAAGAAAAACTTAAAAGCGGCGTAAAAACGGAATAAACTTAAAGAAAACAACAAAGATCAATCATTTCCACACTTATGGATATGGTCTGGCAGAATACACTATCGTCAGGGACTCGAGCATGATCTAGTCGTAGTAGTGATGGCCAACAACAAACTGCAGCTGTAACTGATTCTGATTCTAGTAGTGAGCTTAACTAACTGACCGCATATGCACATAAAACTGTGTGGTTGGTTGGTAGTTAACTTAACAAGGAAATTCTTAACAGATTGTTAAATTCACATACATTGTTCTCAAAGTTCGAGAACACAAATTTGAAATAGTATTTCTTGTGTAAAAGCATTAAAACTTTAACAGTTTAAAATCATTATCAAGGTAATTTAAACTTTAAGACACCCATATTATTATAAGATGCCAAGTAAGTAGCAGCAAAGTTTAAAAAAAAAAGTATAATAAAACTTAAACAAAAAGGTGTTTATTGTGCCTGATTAAATAGTTGCTTCTGATTTTTCATAACAGTAGTTAAATGATTTATACAGTTTTATTTTAAACGTTTTTATTTGTTTTGATTGATTTACTTTAATGTTTTTTGGACTTTTTCTTAGTTTTATCAATATGTATTACAAATTTTGTTTTATTATAAAAATTGGTTAGTGTTTTAGCAACTAGATTTAAAATTTGGAAAATAAAATGTGGAAAATTTCTTACCCATGTCTGGTGATATGCCGCCATATTGTGTTAAATCAGATCTTATCTTACCTGTTAAAATAAAAGAAAAAAGCTCATTAGTATACAATTATTAGTATAAATTTATAAAAAGTCAATATGTCTAAAATAACTAAGAAATTGTCGGTGAATCCCAAATTTTGTCAAATTTTTATACTCATTTCAAAGTATTTATTTTTTTTATTTAAAGTTTAATTATGTTTTATTTTTTTTTATTATAATTACTCTCCTTTCCCTTTTTAATAAAATTAACTAAACGATTTTTTATTTTGTTTATTTTAACAATGTTTTTTTGTTTGTTTTGTTCATCTTTTTATTTAATTTTAACACTGTTCAACACAAGTGTGTGTTTATATAAAAATAATGAACAACAACTACTAAAAAAACAATAAAAAACATAAAATGTGCAAAATGTAAACAATCAAAATGCCACCGGTAACAAAAACAGTGGGACAAACAAGAACTATACTCTGAAAAACAACAGTACAAATGAGAGAATGCTGAAAACAAAACTGAAAAAAATATGGAATAAAAGCTGAAGAAATTTTTATAGAACAAGTTGTGGCAGGCAGCAGCAGCAGCAAGAGCAACTAAATAAGTTGAAGCAGCAGAAGAAGGTATAAAAATATGATTTAATGTTGGCGATAAACCACGTGTGTATTTAAATATGCGCGCCTGGCTGAGTCTGGCGCCTGAATAAACGTAATTTTCACACAGATACACTTATACGTTCAAAAACATACATACATATGTATGTATGTATGTATGTATATTCGAAAAATTAAAAATACTGGTGTAAAAGAACTACACTCCAATTTATATATTTTCTTTTGTTTGATGTTGTCTATTACCCACCAAAAGCTTACAAAGAATGCATTCTTTTATTAGATATACATGAATAAAAGTTTTAGATTACTTGTGAAATTACTTCAAAAACGTAACTTAAGGCAATTACATACGTATATCAGATTTGTAGTCATAACATAAATAGAAAATTTTTCTAAAACCCCAAAAACCAATGAAAGTTTTTTTATAGATATTTTGAAGGCATCCCCCACAAAATATGTATTTTGGTAATCGCATATTATAAAAAATTAGAAGAATTCCTTTTTTTCTACTTTTTGCTTCTTCTAAAACAAATTGCGAAGTTTTCGTTACTTTAAGTATCTGTTTTAGAGTGTGCGTGTAAATTTTGTGTTGGTTACTAGTAGTTGCAGATAAATTCATAGTAGAAAATACAAAAATATTCTCTTGGAAAAACAAAAATTATAAAATATTATACTGGCGTAAATGAAAGTAAACAAACGCAAAATTTATATAAATATAACGACAGCAACAACAATAACAATAATAAAGGGAACTTTCTGTTTAGCTTTTTTCTCAGCTAAATGAAAAACTAACAAATTTCCCAACCAAACACCTATGAATAACAGACAACGACAACAAAAAAGAACCGCAACTCATTACAATTTGTATCTTATGGATGAATGTAAAATGTTAGTATAGTGTTGCTGCTGCTGCTGTTATCATTATCTGGTGCTAAAATTTATATGATTTTAAATACAACGCCCCGTAGGCGAATGCATAAAGTTCCCATTAAGTTTATAGTTTTTTGATTTATATATGTATATATTTTTTATTTTGGGATTTTGTGCAAACATTTGTAGTGAAGCACACCATTTAAAGATGAAACATGATGTTATAACTGCCATAAATGCAGACAGATAGATACCCGGTACTCATTTAAATCTTCAAGTACGTGTAGCGAGAAGAAAAACAAGCAGCAGCAGCAGCAAGTGGCAGGCAAAAGTACATCACTTTAATGCAGATGATGAGATTAAGTTTATAATCAAATATAATTTGTTTAAAATTTACACACATAAAATTTATTAGTTGAACAAACACACTAACAGATATTTTTTAAGGTTTTGTTTATTTTAGAGATTTTTTGCTCCCTCTCTTTTTTGGAGTTTTAGTGGAAGAAAGAACAATAAAAAAGCAAATTTTTGTTTCATTTGGTTTTCTTGTTGTTGGATTAGAAACCCAACACCAAATAAATAAATCTTTAAATATTTTTGAAATAGCAGTAGAAGAAGATGAGATAAAAATCTTAATTGTTATCCCAAAACTTAATGCAAATCATGTTCGTTTTTTATTGTTTAAAGCAACAATATTTAATTTTTGTTAGCAAATTAGTAAATTATTCATAATTTTTATTGTCTAATGTTTATTTTTGAATAAAAGTAAGAAACTGGCTAGAAATGGTTTTGGTTATAAAAAAAAATAATTTAACGCTTTTTCTTTTTTGTTTTGTTATTTTTAAAGAATTAATGACAAATTATTATTTATTAACCGTTAAGATTTATTTACCATTTTTTAACTCATAAAAATGTAAGATCCAAAAAATATATAATTATTTTCACTTCTTCGGAAGTCATTAAACATCACTTCCACACTTCTCTTAGTGTTGCTTTTGAAGTAGTAATAAATGTTATTCTTTTGGAAGTACTTCGTTTTATTTTTGCTGGGATATTTAAGAAATTAAAGTTTTTATTTGCAAAAATATAAATAAAACAAATAAGAAAGTTAAATTGGGAATATAATGCCCTACACCACTACTTATGATTATATTTAAAATTAATTTATTGATGAAAAACTGATTTTCTGAAAGAGGGTTTTTATGGGATCTAAGATGAAATATTGGCCGATCCTCATTAAATTTAGTGGAGGGATTTATGTTTATATACATAATTTTTTATGACGAAATTCATTTTGAAAATAGGCAGTTAAAACAAAATATTACACTATATTACAATATATATGTGTGCATACAAAGACCTATTCAGATTCTGAAACGATTGTTATTCTTTAAGGTGCATAATTTTATAAAGTATGGTATAACATTGAATGCTATACTAAAAACCTAAGTTTAGACAATTCTGTGTCAAAATTCATTTCTTCTGATTCTTTTTTTCAGTACTTCGATGTATTTCATTTATAGGTGATAAGTTGGTCCCAATATAAATTTAAGTTTATATATTTCTTAGACATAATCAACACAGTTTTATTGTTTATTATAAAACAACAAATCATTATTGCCACTTGTGAGTGAGCGCCTTAACACTAAACGATTCTCATAACGCAAAAAAACAACGAAAAATCTAAAAAAGTACAAGAATTATTCAGTTGTATACAAAAGAGAAGAATTTGAAAATCGTTTCGAAATTAAATTAAAGTTCGTACATACATACATATGTGTTTTGGTTTGTAGTAGTAGCAGCAGTCCATGTCTGTCTTCAGTGTTTTGTATAAATATGCATATTTTGATTATAATAATGATTTATTTATTATTAATAATTCATTATGTTAAAGATCAATAATATATAGGTATGTCTATACCCTACAACACACACATCGAATATTTGCAAAATAAACTTTATTGAAAAAGAAATACAGCTTCAAAATTCAAAAAATAAGTGTAGTTGATAATTTATATAATGAGCTGAATTAGATCACCTCAAATGTAAAAATATATTCAGATCAGATTAACTATTTTTAGATATATGGCATGATTTGGCAGCAACTACCCTATCTATTTAAAAAAAAACCTGTTTAAACCCTACACCACCAGTGGGGAGGTGGTATTATACGTTTGTGCTGATGTTTGTAACGCATAAAAGTATTTCTCCTACACCCACCTTTAAGTATACCGATCGATTAAGACATGTCCGTCCGTCTGGCTATCCATGTAAATCTTGTGCGCAAGCTACAGGCCACAATTTTCAAGATATTTTGATAAAATTTGGACCATACGAGTTGAAAATAGTTGAAATCGGTCCATTATTTCACCTAGCCCCCATACAACCTGACCTTCCGATTTTGGAACTATGTCAAATATACTACTATCTCACCAAAAATTGGCACAACTAAGTTTCATATAAGCATAAATGACAATGCCAATTTTTATAATGATCGGCCGTCGTTTGACCCTAGCCCCCATACAAACCCCCTTTAAAAATATCTTAAACGTCCAAAAATTTACTTCTAACCGTTAGTAACGCGATGAAATTCAGCATAACTAACCTTTATATAAAATTACATTCCTCTTTTCAATTTTTTGAGGGTCGGCCATATTTGACCCAAGCTCCCACAGAAAGACTCTTATAAATTTAGTTTTCTTATCAATAAATTGCTTAAATACATTCAAATTTTTCTTTATGAAAAATAAATAATTTTTAAAATATACCCATGATGTAGGGTATCATATAGTCGGCCATGTCCGACTATACTTTCCTACTTGTATAAATAATTTTTTGTTTATTTACACTTTTTCTTTCAAATAAATTTTATACAAATTAATAAATCATACATACATAAATGTGTGTAAGTATTTTCTAGAATTATTTAACCAACTTTTTCGTAATTAGATCAGTGAAAACAATTAACAACTATTTTCGTTGCTAATAAATCATAATGCGTCTAAAAATATTAATCGCTATCATTTTTTTTTTTTCTAAATTAATAAAAACCTCGTCTTGTTTTTATTAATAAAGTGATAAACAAGAAAAAATAAATGTTTGTAATTGTAACACACATTTAGTTGGTTACACTTCGTTAAATTCGTAAAAAGTTACTTTTGCAGTTGCGTGTTGAGTTTAAAACTGAAATTATTATTAAATACATACAGCATGGGTTAACCATGTGCGTAATTTAAAGTTCATTTCCGACTGAAATGATACAAGCCAAACATAATTTTATTGTTTAAAAAATCATATGATTATAGTTGTTAAATGTTTATCAGATCATAAGGAATTTGTAATAAAATAAACAAAAAAAAAAAAGAAAATGAAAAAGTAAAATTTGTTAAAGACCGCAGGACCACGAAACTATGCATTCCTTTTTATTTGTAAGCAAACAAATTTTATAATTTCCAGTTTTCATATGTGTGTATATGGGTAAATCATATTTATAATATTCTTAATTATGTAAAAATACATTTCAGTTTCTCTTTTAAAGTTTTGCAAGATCACGAT